ATGCCCTTTTGAGGAACAGTAGAGCGCGTTGGAAAGGTGTGGTCCATGGATAATGGTATATCTCACCATCGGTGCCGAGTCTGTCTTTAAATCCCCATGTAGGAGATACCGGGAACACGCCTACTGAATGCACCCAGCTCGGACAGATCAGCTGGATGAGACAGATGCTGGCGAGGAACGTTGTGCATTGCGTCCATCTGTGTGGCACGACGGACATCACTGCATACGGACATACTGAAGGTCGTATTGGCCGTGGTTTGCGATTGTAGGTGCTGGTAGGGCATCAGTCACTCAAGCGTGATGTAACGAAATATATGTGCCACGCCGTCGTAGTGCATGACGCGCGCGGTGCTGAGCCTGCCCCTAGCTGGGATGCGGACCATGCAATGCTTTGCCTGTCAACGGGCGCCTGGCTACGGGCGCGCGCGCACTTTCTCGGATGCCTGGCAGCAGGCGCCCGACATTTTTTCTTAATATATATATATATTTTTATATATATATATATATATATATATATATATATATATATATATATCGATGTTTTTCTTTCTGTGGCCTGATGGCGGGCCATGCGGCATGGCGCCAGGCATATGGCCGTGGGCGTTCACCGCCTACTGTTTTGCGTCGCCAAGCGCGCAAATTCAGCTGCCTGAGACGAGTTGCCGATCAGTGGTCGCTCGTCCCAGGTAGGCCACTGGAAAGTCTTGCCAGTTGTGCACTGTTTAGTGCGCTTGGCTGCAGGCTTTGACAATCCCAAGTAGGCGACACACAAGGTGCAGGGGGAGCGTCTGTTGGTACCCCAACGGCGGTTTCCGGCGAGATAAGTCAACGCTCGCCTCCTGCGTCGATGGGCGCGTAGTTTTTTTTTCTTTTTTTTTCCTACATTGAATCTCGCGTCGCGCCTCGAGTTCAGTCATTGCGATGCGCGTCGTCCTCGCTCCCTCCCGACTTTAAGGGGATCTGCCTAGCAGTTGGAGCGAGCAGGAACGAGCCCGCCCGCAGCCCTTTTGCGCTCCATGGGGCCGCCGCCAGGACATAACAAGCCGTTGCTGGCTTCTACCGCGGAGAGCAACATATTTTATCTACTTGTACATCGCCTCGTGGCTTCTTTTCTATTGCCACTACGGGCACCACCGTTGCTATCACCATCCCGCCAGGGCTACCGACTATCATCGTCGATATCATAGTCGTTTATTGTCCCCATCGCTACCATCCGTATCACTGCACCATTCCAGTCTTTTCAACATGACTTGCCACCATCGCCGTCACCATCACCAGCACCATTAGCATCATCACCATCACCATCACACCATACACATCATCATCATCATCATCATCATCATCATCATCATCATCATCATCATCATCATCACCACCTGCATCAACATCACCACCAACATCATTACACTCACAACCCCACACACTCGCACATTACTTCTGAGTTGGTGAGCGAATCTCGAGGAAGTCTTAAGCGGGAGCCCCGTCCCAATGGGTTCCCCGCCTCCATGTTCGACTTCGAGTGGGTCATCCCCCATCCTTTCGCTGTCGTCACGTTTGGGCTGCTCAGGCCTGAAATTGGAAGACGTCTCGAGTGGGAGCTTCGTCTGTGAGTGAATCGCGAGGACGTCTCGAGCGGAAGCCCCCTCTCTATGGGGTCCTTGCCTCCATGTTCGAATTTAGGGTGGTCATCCCGATCCTGTCGCTGTTGACGCGATTGGGCTTCTGGGGCCTGAATCTCGAGGGGGTCTCGAGCGGGAGCTTCGTGTGTGAGTGAATCGCGAGGACTTCTCGAGCGGGAACCCATCCCTAAGGGGCCCCCACTTCTACGTTCGAGTCCGAGCGGGTCTTCCAGATCCCTTAGGTGTCATTAGTTGTGGACTCTTCAGGCCGGAATCTACAGTAGGTCTCGGGCGGGAGCTTCGTCTGTGAGTGAATCGCGAGTGCGTCTCGAGCGGAAGCCCCCTCCCTATTGGGAGCGTGTCTAAAGTTACTAACCCGAGGGGGTCATCCTAAAACCTGTACTTGCTGTCGCTTTGCGCTCCTCAGGCCCGAATCTGGAAGACGTCTCGAGCGGGAGCGTCTGTGAGCGAATCGCGACGGAGTCGAGCGGAACTCCCTTCCTAAGGGAAGCGCGCTTGGTCTAAGGAGTCCGAAGCGGCCATCGGAGCCCCAATGGCTTCGCGATCTGGCCATCGGACAACGCGCGATTGCTGGCCAAGGCGGCGACGATGCCAAGGAAAATCGTTGCGCGCGCCCTTGCAAGAGGAACGGGGGAGGAGGTGGATGGGCCAACGCGGGGAGAGGGGGAAGGAGGGGGAGGAGGAGGAGGAGGAGGAGGAGGAGGAGGAGGAGGAGGAGGAGGAGGAGGAGGAGGAAGAGGAGGAGGAGGAGGAGGAGGAGGTGGAGGAGGAGGAGGAGGCGGAGGAGGAGGAGGAGGAGGAGGAGGAGTAGGAGGAGGAGTAGAAGGGAGGAAGAGGGAGGAGGCACGAGACCGAGGAGCAGGCAGAGCAGGGGGCGGGAGGATGGCTTCCGCAGGGGCGGCAAGGAGAAGGGCGATGGGGAGACAGGAAGAGAGTTTCCGCAGACACAGGGATGACGATGGTGATTACTTCCAGGTCAGTTCGGGACGTTCGCCAGCGTGGGCCCCAAGCAGTGGCTTCTTGCAAATCTATGCGGTGCAATCCAGGCGGTGCAATCAATGGGGTGCAGTCTAGGTGGTGCAGTATCTGTGGTGCGGTATTCGTGGTGCAGCCCGTGTGGTGCAGGGCGATGCAAAACAATGCGCGCCGACGCAAAGCAACGCAAAGTTTGGCAACGCAATGCAGCGCAATGCAAAGCAACGCAACGCAACGCAACGCAATGCGAAGCACTGCGAAGCACTGCGAAGCACTGCGAAGCAATGCGAAGCAGATGGCAAGCAATGGCAAGCGATGCAAAGCAGTGCGAAGCAATACAAAGCAGTACCGCGCAATGCGATGCAATGAAACGCAACGCGCAATAAAACAAATCAACGCAATGCAACACAACGCGATGCAATGCGAAGCAGCAACGCAGTGCGAAGCAATGCAGTGCAATACAAAACAATGCCAATCAACGCGAAGCACTACGAAGTAATGCAAAACAGTGCAACGCAATGCGAAGCAATGCGAAGCAATGCAACAACAGTGACAACTAATGCAAATCAATGGAGAGCAATGCAAACCAATGCGGGGCCACGCAAAGCAGGGCAAAGCAGTACACAGCAATCCGAAGCAGTGCAAGGCAGCGCAAAGCGATGCAGGACGCTTGCGAAGCACAACCCAACGCAGCGCGAAGCAGTGCAACGCCATGCGAGGCAGCGCCACGCCAGGGGCAGCCACGCGACGCAGCGCAGAGCAGCGCGAAGCAACGCCACGCAGTGCGACGAAGCGCACCGCACAACGGCGACGGGCGGCGACGAGCCGGGCCGGGACGCCACGGGGGCCCAGCGGCGACGGCGGCGACGGGCGGCACCGGGTGGCGACGAGCCGGCCGGAGCGTCCCCGGGGAGCGGTTCTGCCCCACTGGGGAAGGCTATCGCGCGGGGTCCTGCCGCAGGCTTGGCATCGCTCGGGCGTGTGCACTTGTTCTCGGCGAGAACCATCGAGGACCATCCTGGACCATCGAGCAAAAACACACACGCACGAAACCGAAAAGTGCACGGGGAAGGGACGTCCGAGCGACGGCAAGCAGGAGTAATTTGTCCTGGCGATAACGGGCGTGGCTGGGGGGTAGAGGGGTCTGGTCACGTGGCGATTCGCGCCGGCGCCGTCTGGGAATGCCCAGGGATGGCCAATTCTCAGACGGCGCTGGCGCGAATTGTGAGGTGACAAGGGGGGCGGGGCGGAGGGAGGGGGGGGCGAGGCCGGTCACAGGCGTTATCGCGAATCAAACAAATTGTTCTTTAGGCGTTTTCGTGGGCTCTCGGCGGTCTTCCAGCCTCGGAATGCTCTCCAGCAGCTGTGCCTCGTCGACATGAGCGAGTTTGTTGGGGCGTTTTCGCTGGCCGTCGGCGGCCTTCCAGCCTCGGGATAGCTCTCCAGCAGCTGCGCCTCGCCGAGGGCGTCTGTCGCCCGAAAACAAGTCTTGGTGTTGTAATTTTTGTGCGCTGGGCGGTTTTGCCTTGCTTCGGCCCCTGGGGCCATCACAGATCGATCCGGCTCGGAAGAGGCCGCAGAGTGATGGGTCTAGGGCTTCCGTTTCGCGATCTTTCGCGATTCTTTCCACAGCGTCGGATCCCAGGGAGCTGCCAGGACGACGCGGACCAAGACATCCAACGTCTTGAAAAAATCAAGGCGGAGGTTGTTCTGAGTCTTCGGCCTCCTGGGGCCCTCGCTGGGCCCCAGGACCGCCAACAGAACGACCCACGATGAAAAGCTGGCCCCGGGGAGAGGGTCGGGACTTCTGTGGACCCCGTGTGGAAATCATCAAGGCAGCGGATGCCTGGGGACCCAGGCATGCGATGCCCTGATATTTTCACTGCGGGGCCCCCCGAAGCCCCGACCCTTTCCCTGGGGCCCGTGCTTTTCGTCCTGAGCCGTCCCTTCACGGCCTCGGAGCCCGGCAGGGACGCCCTGGGATCCCACGAGGGCCAAACGCCTCGCGTCGTGACTTCGTCCCCGACGCGAACCCAGACATGCGACGCCCTGATTTTTTCAGGACGGGGCTCCTGGAAGTCCCGGCCCGTCGGTTCTTCATCCTGAGCCGTTTTTTGACGGTCCCGCGGCCCTGGAAGGGCCCCCGGAGGCCGAACATAACGAAAAACCGGCCGTCGTGATTTTTTCATGACTCGAGGGGGTCTGGGCCCCCCTCTTGGCCGCTCCCGATGTCCGCGGAGTCGAGGGCCCGGCGAGGGCCTCCCGGAGCCGAAAGCGGCGAAAAGCCGCCCGCCCTGATTTTTTTCACGGCGCGAGCATGTCTGGGAGCACGTCTGGGCAGGCACCGGCCTACGTCCACCCCCTGCGCCGCAGCGCGCCTGGCGCGCCGCGCGCCGCGCCGCACCGGGCCGAGGGCCCGCCGGGCCACGGCGCGCCGCGGCGGCCGAGCGACCCCGACACCATGGGGAGCCACATGCGGTCGCTGCAGGGCGAGGACCCGCAGCGCATGCTGGTGGCCCGGCGGTGCCACACCCTGGGCTTCGACTCCGCGGACGTCGGGAGCGGCCAAGAGGAGGGCCCAGTCCCCCCCTCGAGTCCAGAAGAAATCACGACGGCAGGTTTTCGTGATGTTCGGCACCCGGGGGCCCAGGCCCCCTCAGGCCAGGAAAGATCACGACGGCAGGTTCTTCGTCACTGTCGGCCTCCGAGGTAGGGGGAATAGGGTGGTACACGGTGTGGGCGTTTCAAGCGGCATTCTTTGTTTGGTAGGGAGATGCAGGATGAGGCTCTAGGGAGAGAGGGTTGAAGGAGAAGATGCTAAGGAAGAGTGCCAAAGAAGTTGTGATAATCATACGGGAAAGCGAACCTTGGGAAAAAGTTGAAACAACTCAGGCTTTCGAGGCTCCGTGGGTTATTTTCCACTGAGCAAACAAAAATCAGAAAAAGCCGAACATCAGAAGCGTCAGAAACATCCACACACATCAAGGAAGCAATTTGTTCGTTCAAGAGGAATCCAGAACAAAAGTAAGCGAAACCTTTGTTGTGGATGTTTTGTTGTTTTTGTTGTTGTTGTTGTTGTTGTTGTTGTTGTTGTTTTGCGTGCTTTGTTCTTTCATTTGTTTCTTCTTCTGATTTTCTTAAGCAAAATTTTATATACATATATGTATATATATATATATGGTTTCCCCCAGGATTTTCGGCTTTTTCGGATTTTCTGCGAAAGCTTTGGTCCCGTTGATCTTTCCACCGGACCAAAAGTCAGAGAAAGCAACACATCAGACAAATCAACAAAAACACAAAAACAGCAAAACACATTATATATGCATATGCGTATGTATATATTTATGCATGTATATATGTGTGTATATGTATATGTATGTGTATATGTATATGTATAGGTATACGTATATGTGTATGTTTATGTATATGTACATATATACAGGTAAAGGTATATGTATATGTATATGTATGTGTATGTGTATATGTATATGTTTATGTATATGTATATGTATTTGTATATGTATATGTATATGTATATGTGTATATATGTATGTATGTATGCATGCATGTATGTATGTATGTATGTATGTATGTATGTATGTATGTATGTTTTTCTGTGTATATATATATATATATATATATTATCAAGAAAACTATAACCATACATATATAATTAAACAAAACCTTGGCTTTGTATTTGCTCTGAAAGAAAATTGTTTGGTGTAAAAATTGCGCTTCGTTTTTTTGTGTTTCTTCCTTTTTTTAAATGTTTGTCTGTTCCTGTTTTGTTTGTTTGTTCTTTCGGTTTTCTGCAAGAAGGCCATGCTCTATTGAACAAGCATTGGTTGACGTTGCACGAACATGGGGAGAAACATTCTGGCTTACTCTCCCACAGGACTCACAACAGCTGTTCGAAGCGACTCTGGCAAAGACATCGCTTTCTGGCGACCAAATACTTGGGAAGCTGAAGTTTAATGATTCGCCTGCTCGCTTAACCCGCCAGACCTGATATGTCAAACAACTGTATGTCGCGTGAAGGCAGCTTCTTGGAAAGAGGCAATTTTATTTTCTGTCTTGATGTGGAGATATCCCAATGAGGGTTTGCACGTTTTCTGTTTTTTTTCACTACGTTGGTTGCTGCCGATGCGAGTATGACGGTGGAGGAAGCTGAGAAGATGACGCTGCAGTACATATCCGCCAACGGCCTTGCAACGAAACGGCAAATTGTTCATATTTTACAGCGCTCGTTGCAAGATTATGATCAGAAGTGGACCGCAGAAGCCTTGCGTTTGTGCGTTGCAATAATTGGACCGCATCCTCGGACGGGGTACCACCCGCCCCCTGTTGAAGACGCCACCAAAGGAGCCGACAACGCGAATGCTGTCGTTGCGCATATTTACGGAGATTTGTCGGAATGGCTTGGTCAAGCGGCGACCATCATGCAGGCATATGCCAATCTGCCGCTTCGTTGCCTCGAGTTCCAGGCGTATCAGGTAGAGTTGGATCTCGCGTGGTTCGATGCGCGCTGTGGTTATCTGCGCGAGGGAGATTTTACCCTGCGTCAGGTAACTGGTCCAGGCATGCTGCTTTTTGGGTTGCGGTTGTCCCCTGTGCGCTTTGTATAAGACGGGCGTCACAGACGCCGTCGAGGGAGGGTGCGCTGATGATGGGTCTGATGCGAAACCAACAGCGAAGCGGTTCAAATAAGGGAAAGTCGCAGGAGCAGCGATATGTCGGCGCGCAATGCAGCGTGTTGTCGCAGGATTTTGCTGCCGGTGCCTTCCAGCGCGATGCGCTGCGATGTGCCATTCATGCGTGCGGCTGCGCCCAGACGTCTGGGCTTGCTCCAGGCACGAAAAAAGGTAAGGCGATCGCCACTTTGGTAATGGGATATGATGCTGAGGAATGTTGTTGGTTCGAGCTGGGCCGCGGTCTCAGTTTGCCACAGTTGCGGAAACCGAAGACAACGAAGTTGTCCGATCACGTGCGCGATGCGTATGCGCAGAGGATCACATCCATGAAGAAGTGCGTCGTCGCCGTGATTGTTGATGTTGTCGCGACAGGGTTGGCTGAATATTTTGCGAAGTGAAAACCATTGTTTAGATGACTTTCGCATCCATCACCGTCATCGTCACATCATCGGGTGAACCGGCTCTTGCCTTTCTGGAACCAGCCACGTCGCATTTTGCCCGCGGCAGCGGCGGTTGAGCTCGCCCCGTGACTTGGACATGGGCACCGCGCGTCGAGGATTGCACGTTCGTTTGGAAGGCGGGGCCATGTGGCCCGTGGGTCCCACCGTAACGTCGCGCCCGCTCTTCTTGAGGAGCAAACCGTGTGTCGCATGCCAGCGCCTTGGGCAGGGGTTAATAGCAGGAAAGGGCCTCGCAGTCGAGGTGAACCGACCGTCCCCCTACGAAACAAGCTCTCTCAGTTGGAGGCGGGTCGTTGGGCGACGAGGTCGGATGTCTATCTAGAAATCCAGAAACGTCTTACTTTGCCGTATCTGGAAACAGCTTGGCTCGCCGTGGTCGAAGGCGGCCGCGCGGTCGTGCAGTAGAACAAGCACGCGACGCTTACCGTGCGTGGAGGAGGAAGTGGAATAGGAAGAGGAGGATTTGGAAGAGGAGGAGGAGGAAGAGGAACAGGACGAGGAGGTGTACAGGGAAGGACGAAGCGGTGGAGGAGAATGATGGACGTTTCTGGTTTCCCCGAGCTGTATCTATGGCCGTCAGCCAATTCCGCCATCGTGCCTCTGCCGTGGCCGAGATGGTGGTTTCTTGGAATTTCGTTGGAAGCCCATTCCTTTGCAATTGTTCTTCCTTTTCCTCCTCCTACATCCTCCCTCCCCCCCTTCCTCCTGCGTGCGCTCTCTGCTCATCGGCCATGGGGGAGTGGCCGACGTGCGGGAGAAACAGAAGGACAAAACAAATGTACTCGACCCAAGCGAACTAGAATAGTATCCGTCGTCGTCTCAGGAGGGAAGGCGAAAAATGTACCGCCTTATTTTCCTGCTTTCCGGCCTCCAGGGGCCCTTCCCGGGCCTTGGGACCATCAAAAATCGACTCAGGATGAAAAGCCGGTCCCGAGAAATGGCTCACGAAAAAACCATGACGTCGGGGCTCTGGGGAGGGAGGTGGTGACTGCGGCCGGTCTCGCGTCGTGCCGACTGGCGCGCTACCGCGCCGCCGGCGTTCGTCTTCCTCGTCCTCCTCCTCCCTCCCCCATCCAAGTCACGGTGGTGGTGGTGATGGAAAACAGGCCCCTCATTCAGCGCCAGCGGTGGCCCAGAGTCGGTCGACGTGGATCGCCCTGACGCTTCGGACACTGCCGACCGCTCCCGGCGGAGCGATCCCCGCGGTGTCAGGGACAGGCCAGCGCCGGCCTGGGTCGACACGACAGGGACCCTCCGTATAGCGGGGGTGGATCTCTCGTGGCGAGGGCCGCGATGTCTCCCCGGCTTTCGTGGCGCCTCAGTCTGTTTCTAGCGCGTCCCTTGGCCCCACCCCAGACCCCCTCGAGTAATGAAAAAATCAGGACGGTTTTTTTTTCCGCCATTTTCGGCCTCTGGGGGCCCTCACCGGGCCTCGGGACCGTTAAAAACCGACTCAGGATGCCAAGCCTCTCATGGGGAAAGGGTCGGGACCTCTGGGGGTCGACGTAATGAAAAAATCATACGTCGGGGGTCTGGGTCTTAACACGTCCCCGGGCTCCCCCCCGGCCCCCTTCTCGGACGCCGCCGAGGAGATCCTGACCTCGCACTTCTCTCAGTTCGGGAGGGTCAGCAAGGCTCTGGGCCTCCCAGATGGGGTTTGAGCAGATGGGGGCGGAGGATCGTGCCGCATGGCCGATGCATCGGCGATGCGGCACGATGTGGAGTCGAATTTTCCCCACGCCGACGGCGCCGACGCATCGCCGACGTCTCCGATGCATCGCCGATGCATCAATTTTTATCGGCGATGCGGCGCGATCCTCCGACCCTGTCTGCTCGGACCCCATCCAGGAGGCTCCTGGAGGTGCTGGTCGCGCATTCGAAGGTGAGGCCGCGGCGTGACTGCGTGCACAGCGCCAGGACTCGTCCCGGGAGCATCGCGTTCGTCCTCATGGCAGACGCTGCCGCCATCGAAGGCATCTGGCAGAGCGGCGGGGTGCAGATGGTGGCGGGGCGCTGGATCAGCATCGAGCCGTTCTCGGCATTACAGCCGCCTTCGAGTGGCTCGCCCTCTCCAGGGTCCACGCGGGCCCGCGACCTGGTCGAGTCCGTGTGCAGCTTTGGCTCGCACCTCTCCGCCAGATCGACGCGCTGCAGCACTGACACGATCGCCCCCTGCGGTAGTACAGATCAGGAAGAGCCAGAAGAGCCAGTCAGGCCTAACCTGTAGATAAACTGACGCAGCACGGGCTGCGAGTCTAGCTCGGAGAAGAAAAAGTGGCATACGCATAAACTTTCGCTCCGCGATGGTTACTTGGATCGGCGTCTGGACCCCCCCGGCGGCGCTTCCGGCTCCGCCCAAGGCGCGCTCCGCGCACCAGTGAGGGGGCCCAGCGCAGATCCAAGAAATCCGCGCGGAGCTCTTAATATGCAGTGTTTTCTTCTTCGATAGGTGCGAGTCCAGTCTGGTCAGCCTAGTCCAGCTGTTCGCCCAGCACGAGCTAGCTAGGTTCAAGCTTGCCGAAACGTACTGCAGTGCCCTTTTGGGCGAGTTCCAGCCGTGCAGCGTTCTGGCTATCGTACCTCTCTAGCGTTGCTCGCTTGCTCTGGCGAGGTGTAAAGGTGACCTAGGCGAGGTCCAGTTTTGGGCCCCAAGGGTTGCCTGGGAGGTCGTCCAGGCCATTTGCAAGTTACCAAAGCAAGTTCTAAATACCGTCGGTCCCTTCTGTCCACGCGCAGCAGTCAGCTGCGCAGTCGTTGTCCTTCCGAGGAGACTCATGTCTCTTGATGGGGCAGCGCAGACGTCGGACCCGGTTTCATTTACATTTCAGCTTACCCACCTCGTTCCAGCGCTGCTGCGCAGCAGTCAGCTGCGCGGTCGTTGCCCTTCCGATGAGGCTCAAGTCTCCGGACGGGGCCAGCGCGGACCATGGACCAGGCTCCAAGTGCGTTACAGCTTTTCCAGCTCGTTCCAGCGCTGTTGATTCGCTCTAAATAGCGAGGTACAAACGCAACCCAGACTAATTCCCCCGATTTCGGTCCCAAGGGTTGTCTGGGAGGTCATGCAGGCCACTTGTAAGAAATCATTCGACGAAGTTTTCCTTTCTGTCCACAAGCGCAGCAGTCAGCCGCGCGGTCGCTGTCCCTCCAAGGAGGCTCGGGTCTCTGGATGGGGGCAGCGCGGACTATGGACGGGTTTGTTGCATTATTTCTTTCTCCGATGTGCTCGTGCATCGGTGGCCTCAGTTGTACACTAACTTTTTTTTTGCTTCATCACGCACCCGTGTGATCTGGTCGACAGTAGCGGTTTTCGCGTCTTGGGCGTGGGCGCATCTCATGTGCGCGCGTCTCTCTTCTGTGACTCTGGCTGTCTCTGGCGACCCCACTGACTGTTTTTCTGCCTCTTTGTGCAATGTTGCTGAATTGATACGCGCATGCTCGACAAGTTTGTGCGAGGCGACAGCTGATGGCAGATGCACGCTGGGAGAAAAGTTGTTGACACTTCGCGTGCTGCCACCTGCCCATCCAGAAAGGTTTTCTCGGCGAGGTGTCGTGAGAGGGCACTTGGGGACACGTAGGGGGGATATCCATCAAACCACAAGAAGAAGCAGCCCACACAGCATCAAATGGCTAGTTTGGGACTTTTGGGAGCCTCTTGACTCTTGGAGCCATCTTGGGGCTCTCTCGAACGCCGTTTGGACCCTTAGGTTTCTTTTTCTTGCCGCCCCTCTATAAACCTTTGAAGCCGTCTTGGGGCCATGCTGGAGACCATCGACTAAATAACACGTGTTTGCCAGCGCGGACCCCAAACAGTAAGCCCTCACACTGGATGTGTGAGCTGTGTGGTGAAGACTGTGTGGTGCAAGTACGATTGAACACCTTGCAGTCCTCATTTGCATTGCATGCGCAAGTAACCCACCCACCCACCTGCAACTTCTTGGAAGCAATGCAACTGGCGCAGAAGCGCGAGGACACTTCTTAGGCAGATTCATGACTTGTGCGGGCGGGTGATGATAGTGACGACTACATCAGCGACGACGGCGGCGGCGACGACGACGATGATGATGATGCCGATGATGCTGATTCTGATTATGATGATGATGATGATGATGGTGATGATGATGATGATGATGATGATGATGATGCTGATGATGATGATGTCGATGATGCTGATGCTCATGATGATTACGATGGTACGTATGGTGCTGATGATGCTGGTGATGGTGGTGGTGATGATGCTGATGATGCTGGCGGTAGTGCTGGCAACTAGGGCGATGAGATGCTGATGCTAATGCGGACGCTGAGACTGGTTTCGATGATGATGATGCTGATGATGATGATGCTGCTGCTGATGATGACGATGATGATGATGATGGTGATGATGATGACGAGCTGCTGATGCTGATGATGATGATGATGCTGATGATGATGATGATGATGATGATGATGATGATGATGATGATGACGATCAGATCAGAACCCATGGGGGGGCGAGCAGAAGTCCCATCCAGCAGAAGCCCCTAGGATCGGGCTACACCCGAGCGTAAGTTTGCGATGCGTGGCCGTGCACCTCGCCACTCACAGCACGGATGAGCCCTGCTGCTGCCGCGGTGCGCCTTGAAGCAAGCGCAGAGCAGCTGACATGCCAGAGCTGCTCCACCGTGCAGAAAACCCATGCGTGGCGATGTTGCCACGCCTTATCACTACTGGTATAGTGGGCTCCTCGGGACCAGGATTTGTAGCCAGGCCCGTCAAAGCAGCAGATATCTTCACGCGCTTACCGCTCCTCGGATCCTCACTCGAGGGGCTGCGGACGCTGGTCACACCACCCATCACCTGTCCCTTGGTTTCAGATGTGAGCGGCAGCTCTCGAACATTCGGAGGGAGAGAGGTCGAGGTCGAGTGAGAGAACACAAAGGAGGACGGAGGCTCGGAGGGGGGAGGATCGAGGGGGGAAGAAATAGGCTTCCTCGCGGCTAGGCTCAGGCTTCGCACGAGCTGCACAACACGTCGTTTCTTCTTCTCTGGCGTTTCAGTACTCCTCATTTCCGCCTCCACACGGGGGCGGTGTTTGTCAGAGACCTCATTCACTCGTGCCTCATGTTCTCGCACTCGTGCAGCCCTGTGTGCAGCAGCCGCTCGCGATGCCCCATGGGGGCGGTACCCTGCTTGTAGTCCGCGCCCGCCTGCACCAGCGGCGCGAGCACCGTCGAGAAGTTGAGGCGCGTCATGAAGCTCAGCACCAGCTTGACTTTGCCCTCCTCGTGCGCGTCCGTGATCTTGACGAGCGGGACGGCTTCCCCCATTTCCACCGGACTGAGACCGTTCTGCTGTTTGCTCAACTCCTCCAACTGCTGCTGATTGGTCCTGCCCACCGCACTGCCCTCGGCGATCAGTCCCTCGAACACTCCTGCGTAGCACGCGACCGAGATCGTGCCCATCTCCTTGATCTTCTTCTCGGCGTCGGCTTTGGACGCGGACGTCCTCGCCTCCTCCGCTGCCTTGATCCATGCGCTGACGCGAGCCCTCGCCTTCACCGCCACCTGCTTCCCCGAGGACAGCAGGAACGTCTTCAGCTCGATGGACTCGATCTGCCTCTGGCTCATTGCCAGGTTGAGAATCTGGCTTGATTTAGGGTGAATTTAGGTTGAGTCGGGTGAGTGTTTTTAGGTTTTTGATGGTTTTTGATGCCGACGACGATTGTAATGATGGTGGTTATCAAATCGTAGTGCTGATGGTGGTGGCGATGGTGATGGTGATGATGGTGGTGCTCATCACATCCAGAATCACCATCATCACCATCACCATCATCACCATCACAACCGCCCTCACCATACCATCATCACCATCCCCATCATCATCATCATCATCATCATCATCATCATCATCATCATCATCATCATCATCATCATCATCATCATCATCATCATCATCATCATCATCACCATCCATACCATCAGCATCGCCATCACCATCACCATCGTCACCATTGTGGTCCGTAGGACTTGGCTCAAAATTCGCCGGCCCAACGGGCCAGGGCGTGCTAAGATCTCCGGTAACTGGTTAACAGTATTAACAGTATTTCTAGTTCGCGCGCGCGGGGCGGCCCCTGGGGGTCCCCCGGCGAAAAGTACCCCGACCAACGCCCGGTCGCCGCCCGGTCGCCGCCCGACCGCCGCCCGACCGCCGCCCGACCAAGTCTACTCAGAGATGGTTTTCCTTCTGGGTGCGGCCTCTCAGGCTCCCCAGAGCGCGCTCAGAGTGCCCCAAGAGGCCCCCAAGACTGCCCAAGAGGCCCCCGAGACGCCCAAAGAGCGCTCGAAGACGCCGAAGATGACCCCAAGACGGCCCAAAAGGCCCCCAAGACAGCCCAAGAGGCCTCCAAGACGCCCCAAGAGCCTTCCAAGAGGCCTCCGAAGAGAGCCCCAAGAGGCCAAAATCGTTGATTTTCATTGTTTTTTCTATGTTTTTTGTGTTCTGGCTTTTTCGGCTTCCGGACGCTCCAAGACGGCCCAAGAGGCCCCCAAGACCGCTCCAAGACGGCCCACGAAGCTCCCAAGACGGCGCCGAAACGACCCAAGAGAGCCCTCAAGACGGCCCAAGTGCCGCCCAAGACGGACCAAGAGGCCCCAAGACGGGCCCAAGAGGGACTCAGGAGGGATACCGAGAACTCAAAAATGGAGCCCTCCGTCCCAGAAGGCGCCCAGGAGGTCCCAAAGAGGCCCCAAGAGGCCTCCAAGAGGCCCCAAGATGTCGCCAAGAGGCCCCAGGAGACTCCCAGGAGGCCCAAAAGAAGCCCCAGAAGGCTTCAAACATGTCTCCCAGGCGCCCCCGAACGGCCTCTCAACAGACCCCAAGAGGCCCCCCAAAGAAGCATCTTGACGACGACTCTATTTCGCCCCATCGAGAGACGACCCCCAGGGAACTGCTTCACCATCAAAACTCCCCACGCAACGCGTCCGAACGACACCCGCCCCCAAGAGCGCAACATGGGCAACGAACACACAGACAAAAACCAGCGATGCCATATCACGGGCCGGCGGAATGAGCGAAGCGATTCAATAATAATGTCGTCGTCCGCTGGGGCGGTTTCCCCGAGTCCTCCAGCCTCGTCGTCCCTTCCTTTTTCGAGGGCAGCTTCGCCGAGTCATGCTTCTTCTTCGTGGGCAGCTGCTTCGCCGAGCCCTGCTTCTTCTTCTTCTTCAAGGGCAGCTTCGCCGAGCCCTGCTTCTTCTTCGAGGGCAGCAGCTTCGCCGAGCCCGAGCCCGAGCCCTGCGGCCGCGTCGAGGGCAGCTTCGCCAAGCCGTGGCAGCTGCAACAGCTCGGACGCAGAATCGGCCGTGGCAGCTGCAACAGCTGCCGTGGCCGCTGCCGACGCAGCGGGCTCCGAAGAGGACAGCGGCTCCAACAGCGGCTCCGACAGCGGCTCCGAAGAGGACAGCGGCTCCAGCAGCGAGGCAGCCGCGGCTGCAAGAGCGAAGGCGAAGGCCGCCCCGAGCAAAGTAGTCGAGAAGTTCCCGCCTTCGTTGTCCATGGCCCTGGAGGAGCACGTCGCCAGCCACGACTACCCAAAGCACGTCTCCACCTGCGGCGCTTGCAAATTAAGGAAGAACAAGGATAACTGGAGCGCCTCGATGTCTGCGACGAATCCAGTAACACTGAAGAGTGAAACTTGGATCGGCTGCGTTGGTGGTAGATTTGCAGTCTGCTTGTTCTGCTCGGCGTTCAAGGGCGCTCGCTGCATTTCCACCATAGGCCAGGGATCCGCGAGTTTCCAACGCAAGGAAAACCTCGTGCGCCATGCGCAGTGCGAGGAGCACCAGGCAGCAGAAGCGGCGTGGCAATTATCCCGGCAAAGCAACCTAACAGCGATGTGTAGGAGCATATCTGGAAGCATTCCCCTTAAGATTCAGATAAGAATCCTGTTGTAGAATTCTGCTGTTCTCGCAGTCGTGGTCGCATTCGCGATGGCAGTCGCAGTGGCAACAGCAGTCGCAGTCACAGCCTCAGCCTCAGCCTGCCTCAGCCTCAGCCTCAGCCTGCCTCAGCCTCAGCCTGCCTCAGCCTCAGCCTCAGCCTGCTTCAGCCTCAGCCTCAGTCTGCCTTCAGCCTCGGCCTCCTCAGCCTGCCTCAGCCTCAGCCTGCATCAGCCTCAGCCTCAGCCTCAGCCTGCCTCAGCATCAGCCTGCCTCAGCCTCAGCCTCAGCCTGCCTCAGCCTCAGCCTCAGCCTGCTTCAGCCTCAGCCTCAGTCTGCCTTCAGCCTCGGCCTCAGCCTCAGCCTGCCTCAGCCTCAGCCTGCATCAGCCTCAGCCTCAGCCTCAGCCTGCCTCAGCATCAGCCTGCCTCAGCCTCAGCCTCAGCCTGCCTCAGCCTCAGCCTCAGCCTGCTTCAGCCTCAGCCTGAGTTTGCCTCAGCCTCGGCCTCAGCCTCAGCCTGCCTCAGCCTCAGCCTGCCTCAGCCTCAGCCTCAGCCTCAGCCTGCCTCAGCCTCAGCCTGCCTCAGCCTCAGCCTCAGCCTGCTTCAGCC